CAGAACACCCTGAGCACAGGTATATGTTGAAAGGAAGAAGACGTTCAGGTTAGGCTGCAGAGTGCCTTCAACTCAGTCCTACAGGTTACAGAGGAACTTTGGCGTTTATGTTGCATGAGGCTTGGAGCCTCAGAAGCTGGTGGTCCTCTTAGAGTGAGCGCAAACCCTCCCTAGCTGCCATTGGGTAGGCTAGGGGCTGTTTCCTGCTTATCAAACCTCAGAGTGCAGGTTTCTATTTCCAGGTTTCTATTTTAGCCATGACATCCACCAGGCAAAGAGAGGAAAGGACTCTGGACAGTCCCTCATGAAGGACCAAGGACAGGAGCTGCTGAGATCTGGAGGAAAATATGTCTCCCTCTAACTTGCCAATCTCATCCAATTCCTATGCNCCAACGTACACCGTGAAGAGACCCAAGGAACAGGTAAGGGTGGAGGAGATGGGGTGAGGGAAGAATGACCTTGTAGAGATCTGGCCCAGGAATGGACCATGATAACCAGGGACTAAACAGGGAACAGGCTCACTCATCAGACAGCAGCCCTGAATTTCCAAAAGATTAGATAGAGAAAGCATGTGGGATAAATAGCATTCTGCTGGGAGGTGGAAAAACAGAAGGGGGCTGGCTGTCATCAGTGACAACAACCCAATGACTACCATCAGAAAGGAAAAAACCCAGGGAGTGTCTTCTCTGCCGATCTCCCAAAGTCCAGGATGTAGTAGGATAAATACTGTGATCTACTACCGTTAGTCATGTGTACTCTGGCCTCAGCACCATCCTATCTACTAGTAATTAGGGGTCAATGATCCAGTCAGCATCAGCCTGCAAAGAAAACATAGCCTCTCCTCACAAGGCATTTATGTAACCAACCCCTGAGCCATGAAAAGACTAAACAGCAAGAACTTTGCAAGAAAGCGGGTGAATAATATTTAACCCTAGTTACTGCAACTATGGACAACTATCTGATTATATAACCTAAGATGTAACTATAGAGTAAATGATTTGTTTCATGAGGGGAAGAGAGGGCAGGAGATCTCGGGTAACATTCAACCTGAATGCTATTCACTATGCCCTGAACTCCATGCTGGTCTACGAAACACTTTGAACTTCAGCGAGGAGAAAGCAACATTCCTGGACGCGTGGCCAGGCATAGCCACACGTCGGGCCTCGTGGGGAATGCTGTCCTCCATTTGCACGGGTGGGGAAAGGGTGAGACAAATCACAGGACTTTTGTTGAAAAATACAATTGGTGGAGGCTGGTGGTGTTACGTCAGCAACTCTAGACAGTTCTAGAATTCCCCACAGCCATCAGCCCTGACCAGGGCTTCCTGCCCATTGCCTCGCCTATCTGCTTTCCTTCAGAGCCTGCCTCAGAGCCTNAGCGGCCGTGAGCGGCCGTCCAATGGCCGGTGACCGATCTGCCTGGCCCAGGAAGAGCACAATGATGGTGCCAACTTGGGCCAGTGAAGCGACATCCTCCACAACTAGCCTGAAGAACAAAACGACAGCAACTTGTCTGTTCCCCTTCCCCAATTCCCCAACACCGTTCCCTCCCCCAATTCCTCAATAAAATCTTAAAAAAAAAACCCTACTATGGGTCAAGCTGGTACATTATCTCATTTAATTCTCACAATCACTTTACAATTTTGATTCTAAATCCTAGATCCCCCCCACCCCCCATTGAATCACCTAAAGAGATTTATAAAAATAGATGCTTAGACCCCCACACACACACTTGGATCTACTGACTCAGAATCCCCAGGCTTGAAACCTGAACATGAACTTTTCTAAAATCCCCACTAATTTAAGAAACTAGTGCTTAAAACCACCCTTTGCTGCTCCTAACACCCCTTCCTCCCCTCCTTCTTGGGATAATACCCTCATGGGTCAGAGAAGAATGTCAAGGTTGGGTGAACTATTAACAGCCACCCTGAGCTCACCTTTATTCAACTTGAGGAACCAAGGTGGCAGCCCGGTTAGGAGAGGCCCTTGGTCACCTCCTGCCATCCTCAGAATCCAGCTCTGCCCACACTCGGTGCCTTGGCCAACAGTACAGGAGCGTGTGGCAACCTACAGTCTGCGCCTTATGCCTCTCTCCCAAGTCCTAGCTCTGAGCCAGGCAAACTTAGAATCAAGCAGATGCAAAACCTGTAATAGCCCCCATGGGCTTCTTATCCTATGACTGGAGTATGAGGGGCCACTCCCCAATCCCCAAACCTAACTGCCGTAAGAGCTGAGGCCACTCCTCCCCCACCACCACCCTGTGGGTTGAGTCCCGAGCTCTATTCATGTCTGAGGCCGATTCTACCAGCCATCCTGCGAGCCCCCGAGTGAGAGGGGCGCTGCCAGCCCTACTTCATAGTTTCATGCTCCCTACCAACCTCTCCCCTCCCCAGACAGTTAGCCTCCTAGAGCTGTGAGGTCTGTTTAGGATCATGAACAGAGACACTTCAACTTTCTACAGAACATCAAGAAGACCTGTTACCCCAAACCTGATTTCATCTGGTCATGCCACAGATGTTCACCTCACACTCAGATGCAAAACACTGTTACATGGTTGATGGGATAAAGCAAAACACCACCTCTCTTCTCAAGGGACTTTATAGTTGAATAGGAGTGAAGGAAAAGCTTCAGTACAAAAATAAGGACCCCTATGAGCAGAGTATAAAAGCCCTACAACCTGGGACAAGGGAAGCTTCACAAATGAGGTAGGACTTGACTTAGACCTTGACGACAGATGGGTAGGGACAGAAATTTCAGCAGGTACAGAAGCAGGAAGAGAACGCTATAGACACAGAATAGGGTGTACGTCAGGCATAGACGTGGGAAAGTTTTGAGTGTGGTCAAAGGAGCTGTCACACCCAATGTGACAAGAACAGCCAACAGGAGGGAATCCATGGGTGACAAATGAGATGGCAAAGGTCTTGAATACGAAGGATCTGGCCTGAGTTTGGTACTCAGCAGGCACCACTCAAAGCTTATAAGCAAAGGGTGACAGGATCAGGGTGGGGCTCCACGAAGAATAGGTGGCATGGACTGGAGCAAAGACGCTGGAGAAAGGCCAGGTGGGAGGCTGTTGTAAAACTCCCCCTCACATGTGATAAAGGGCCTGACCCAGCATGGGAGCTGTGAGACTAGCACAGAGGTGACAGGTGGAAGAACTATAGTGACAGATTGCATTAACTCTTCAATCCTGTTCCCTCAGATTTCTCCACGCAGAGATGGCCTCAGACAGGACAGGTGCAACAACATAGGCGTTCAAAATATTTACTTATACCAACCATGACTTGTGTCCAGAAGGCACAAGAGGTCTACAGCCCCCGGGCATGTCAGAGCCCACAGACCTCTGTTACTCTCCCTAACTACTGCTTCCTTCACTCACACGTAGGTTTGTTGCAGGTTCACGGTCACGAGGAAAGCGCCTCTGTTGTACAGAGAGGTGTATACACAGTTACGTCTTCTGAGGCCACAGCTCATTTGAATACAACTTGCTTTAGGCTCTTCTCAGTTTTGAGTTGCAAAAATACCAGATGGCTCAGTTGGTTAGAGTGTGTGCCCTTAACAACAAGGCTGCCGGTTCGACTCCCGCATGGGATGGTGGGCTGGGCCCCATGCAGCTAGATTGAAAACAGCAACTAGACTCGGAGCTGAGCTTGCGCCCTCCACAACTAAGATTGAAGGACAACAACTTGACTTGGAGCTGATGGGTCCTGGGAAAAACACACTATTCCCCAATAAAGTTTTAAAAAAAAATACTCTAATTCTGTAGTCATCTTCTTGTTCTGCTTGCTTCTCCATATGGGCCAGTTGTATACTTTCCCTGAATTTATTGCCTTAGCTCAGTTTTTTCTGCTAACTAACCTTGATATCTTTCCTGCTTCAAGCCCTAGACCACCTACCCTTCTGTTATGGACTGAATTGTGTATCCCTGCTCCCCAAATTCGTATGTTGAAGCCTTAACCCCCAATGTGACTATATTTGGTGATAGGACCTTATAAAGAGATAATTAAGGTTAACTAAGGCCATAAGGGTGGGGCTGTCATCATTGTAAGAAGACAAAGAGACAGCCGGAGTGCCTGGGCACAGAGAAAAGGCCATGTGAAGACACAGCAAGAAAATGGCCATCTGCGAGCCAAGGAGAGAGGCCTCAGGAGAAACCAAACCTGCTGACACCTAAATCTTGGATTTGCAGCCTCTAGAACTGTGAAGAAATACATTCCTGTTGTTTAAGCCACCAGTCTGTGGTACTCCGCTACGGCAGCTAGGAGACTCATACATCTGATTAATGCTGCCCACTTGGGCTAGTGTTAGAAAAGGAAGGGGTCATAGGAAACCAAGTTCGTGCCTTGGTGACTGGCCGAAAAGGGATACCATGAAACGATGGTGCTGTCATGAGGAATGAGATGGGTTTAAGTCAGAGGACATAGCAGAACTTCCTGCAGGTGGACAGAAGTGTGGGCCTGGGGCTCAGCAGAGGATGGACTGGCCTCTGCACAGCAGTGCTGGGTGAAGCCCGGGAGTGAGAATATGAAAGAAAGAGGGCCAAGGATAAAGCTCTGGGTAATACCCATATCTAGGTGACAAGAAGATGAGGCAGAAAAGGAATAATCAGAAGGCCAAGATCTTACAGTATAGTCAAATCTCTTTTAAAAGAAGAATTTCAAGGTAGGATAGTTAACAATGCCAAGTGATGCTAAGAGGTAAAAGGATGGAAGCAGAAAATGACACTAAGTTTAGAAAATGGAAGGACTAAGAAACAAGTGGATAGTAAATAAGAGGTGATGGATATAGATACATCTTAAAACATAAATGAGAGAGTTGGGAGGGCAGCTTGAGGGGAAAGCAGGGTTGATGGATGGTTTTATTTTGAATGTTAAGAAACATCAGCATGTTTGTATATGAGTGCATAGGAAATGGAGTTAGCCTTGATGAGATGAACTACTTCTACTGGGGCAGGAGAGAAGAGGGAAAAAATGAGATAAAGAGGACAGTAAGGTCACTTACTTCAGCTTCAATCTCTCCTGCAAAGTAGTTGAGACAAATCAGGAACTTTGAGGATATGGACCAAAATATCCACCAGGCTCAAACTGGTCAAGCAGGGACTGAGGAAACAGTTTCCAAAATTAAGGGGTTGACACAGAAAACGTCATCTTAAGAGATCCTTCGAGCAGAGTAGTTTACGTGACAAAAAGTCTCAAGTGGTCACTTAGGTACGTGGCTGATGTGAAGGGAATTTACATGTTTACTTCAATCTCCCCCCAGCATTCCAGTCTGGGTAAAGGATGTTAGAAAGAACAAGTTTGAAAACTAAACCCAGTTTTTAATACCACTGTCACCCCGTGCCAGCTGTGAGAACATGGGCGACTTCTTTCATTTTGAGCTGAAGATAGAAGCACGCCCAGAATGGAAATGCACAGTGAAGATCACCGAAGACAGGACATCAAGGCACAGTCTCTGGAACAGAGGGGCCCGTCTGCGCCGTCACCTTACCTGGCCTCTGGTGGGAGGCCTGACGCAATGGGAACCCCACTGTCTGGGAGAACATTTGAGCAGTGTTCCTGATCTTCTTTTCGAAACAAACAAGAAGAAACTGAAGGATGGACTAGGGATGGGCAGGCACCTTGATTCTGCCTACTCACTACAGACCCCCTCTGCAAAGCTAGTTTCTGTTGCTAAAAAGTCAGGGCGAGGGCCAGCCGAATGGCTCAGTTGGTTAAAAGCTCGCTCAAGAGTACGAGCTCTGAACAACAGGGTCGCCAGTTCGAATCCCAGCCCAAGCTAAGCTGCCGCTGAGCTGCCAACAGGTGGCAGGATGGCTCAGCTAGAAAAAAAAATTTTTTTTAATAGAAAAAAAGTCACGGCGGAAGATTTTGCCCATCCCCCCAAAATAAAGCTCAAATAATAAACTCAGATTTCCCTGAGCCCAGAAGTACCATGTAAGTCTGAAAGCTAGGGAATTATAGAAATAGCACCAAGTGCTGTGTATCAAGGAGGAGTGAGAGTCCAGGGA